TACCCTACGAAGCCATTAAAGTTGTGAGGAGACACATGTTTTTTCTCCCCTATTAAAATATTAGTGCTGTATTATTAAAGAACCCTTTCCAATTGCTCAAAAATGTTTACCTTTCTTTGTTGTACTTGTATTATAAAGTTCCTATTTAGCTTTTGTAGTCCTTGTAATATAAATGCTTGAAAGTCTTCCATTAAAAATACTTTTTTTCCCCTTTAGGATTATTAGGATTAGCTTTGCAGAGTAAGTTATTTTTGGTTGAAAGCCTTTATGTTTGGCCTTCTGGAATATCATATTCCAAGGTGTTCTTTCATTTTAAGTAGAAGCTGCCAGGTCATGTGTAGTCCTAACTGTGGTTTGTTGGTACTTGTAATGCTTCTTTCTGGATGCTTATAGTATTCTTTCTTTGACATAGGAGCTCTGGATTTTGGCAATGAAATGAGTATTTTTCCTCTTGTTTTTTTTTCAGGAGGTGATCAGTGGATTTTATCTTTACTTTCCCTTTTGGATCAAATATATCTGGGAAGCTTTTATTTGTGATTTCTTAAAATGTAGTGTCCAGGTTTGTTTTTTAATTCATGATTTTTAGGAAGTCCAATAATTCTTAAATTCTTTTGGTAGCTTGTTTTCTAAGTCAGTTATTTTTTATATCAGATATTTTACATTCTCTTCTAATTTTTAAATTTTTGATTAATATTTGTTTCATAGATTCACTGATTTCTCTTTGGTATAATCTAGTTTTTGTAGAGTCTGCTGCTTGGGTTAGGTTTATCACTTTCTCTTCTAAGCTATTTTTCTCCTCCCAATTCTTTTCTTTACTAATTTTTTAAAAAAAAATCTCTTGCTTAGTTTCTTCTAGATATCAGTATAGTCCTGGTGAAAAACACATTTTTCCCCTTTGAGTCTTTGCTTACAGTCTTAGCATTACACTTTTCTATGTTGGATTTTTGTGCACCTCTGGAACCGTAATTATTATTATTATTTTTTATTCTTTAGTTTCCTTATAGTAGTGGTATTTTTCTAAAGTTTTTTCATCTCTTTAGCTTCAGTTTCTGAACTGGGGCTTTGTGTCATGGTCTGCCTCTGCTTCTTGCTGTGCTTGTGGGTGGGGTGATTGGCCCTGCTTTTCCTTGCTGTGGGCTTTCTGAGTTCTTACACTGACCTCCACCTTCTGGACCACCCCTACCCACTTCTTTGAGGTTCAGAGTGCTGGATCTTCAGAGCCTTCAATGGCATCTTTTCTTGTTCCAGGCCAAGGATAAAGGATGTACATTTATGAGTGCTGCCATGGTACTGGTTGCTGGCCCTCCCCTATGTCTTTCAATGTCTACTTCTATAGGTAACTGACCTCTTTTGGGCTTTCTGACTACCCTGGGGCTTTATCCAGGGGGCTTTATCCACTCTTATTGCCTCCAAACATAGAGCCTTGCAGTTTTCACTGGCTCATTTCTGTTTGCCCTGGGAAGGCATAGTCCAGGGAACAGAGTATTAGATGTAGAGTCATTAATACCTAGATTCAAATGATGACTTTGATATTTATTAGATCTGTGACCATGGGCAGGTAACTTAACCCCTCTAAGCTTCACTTTTCTCGTTTATCAAATGGGGATAATAATACCAGGATTACCAACCTCAGAGAGCCATTGTGAGACCCAAATGAAACAGTGCATGTTAAGTGCTATATAAAAGTTACTATGATTTTTCTTCCATATCATAGTGTGACATAGCACTATGCATTATATCACTTAGTGCCTTATAGGTTCATCTGTTCTGAGGTAGAAGTGACCTTAGATGTCATCCAATCCAGGAGGTTACATGATACAAGGTCATACAAGTAGTTAGTTGAGTTCAGTTTGAAATGTAGGACCTGGCTTCAGCTCTAGTACTCTTTCCTCTGATTCCAGTTGTCCATGTTACAATTAGATTATTAGATACCCAAGGCCGGGACCTTGTTGTACTCATACTCCACAAAGTGCATAGCACATAGTAGACATTAAATATATTTTTCATTAGAGTTGTGGGGGGGGGAATAAGATTTTCTATAGAGTCTACTATGTGCCAGATATTATGCTAAGTACTTTCCCCCTTTTTTAAAAATATTAACTCATATCTGTCTAACATAGAATGTTAGATCTGAAAAAATCCTTAAAATGAACTAGTCCAGTCTTAAAAATAAGGAAAGTCAGGCTCAGAGACTTGCTCTAGAGCACAGAGCTAGATAATAGTATAGAATAAGCCTAGAATAATGTTATATGGCTGTGAATAATGGAACACCACAATGTCTGAAGAATCCAAATTACAGGTGATTCAAACGGCAATAGAGAGGTGTGTGATAAGCATGTTAATAAACAAGGATTGCACAAAAAGTAGTGTACAAGATATTATTATGGAAATATATGATTGGAAAAGGAGTAGGCTTTGATTCAAGTTTGAGATATGTTAAAGGACGTAGAGAAAGACCTCCAGGGCATCTGTGGAAGACTGATGGGAGGGCCCACAGGAGGAGAAGGCTAGAATGGATTGTAATCTTTACAGTTTGAGGTCTTCCCCACAGTGGTGAGATCATGTATATATAGCTTTGATAAGTATGGCCATAACATATCTAGGCTCTCCTTCAGGGAAGAATTAGTACTATTGCAGAAAATGAGGGAAGATAAAAAAATTTCTTGATATTGCTTGTTCAGGCAAAGAACATTTGTAAAAATGAGCTCCTACTTTATAGGCATCTAAATGCCTGTATTTCCTCTTCTCATTAGAATGTAGATCTATTGGCAGTTCAGCAATTCTGGATAAATCCTTATTCTCTTAGTAAACGGTTTTGAGGACTGAGGATACTAAAATAAAAAATTGCTTAAGCATTCTTGCCCCCAGTTCCCATCACTATGGGAAAAATAGTATTGTTCTCTTGCATTTCAGTCACACAACACAACTTCTTGGCCATTATTGTGATGCAATACAAATGTAAGCTCCTTGAGGTCAGAAATGGTTTTGTTTTCATCTTTGTATGGCCAGCATATAGAAGATGGCCTATAGTAGATGCTTAAGACATAATTATTGATTCATTGGTTATGATCAGCAAGAGAGGATAGTTATGAGGGTCTCTTTTAAAGAAGGGAACCACAGATACTTGGTCATTCACTTACTTGAAGGGAGGTGGAGAAAGGTGGGCTGAACTTAATCATTTTCCCTAACATCTTCTCCACCTTTATGATTCTGTGATTTCCATTCTTGACCACTGTTGTCCTAGAAGGACCCTTTCCCTATTAGTAGTTCTGTTGGATGGCTGTGTCCTACTCCAGTAGAGAGGAGGAGAGAACAGGAGAAGGTGATATTTCATCCAATGGTCCTATTTCATCCTCTCCTTACCTGACCTCCTTGAAAAGGCTGGAGTCTAAAATTAAAAACTCTTCCCCATCTGACTAACTGTGTAACAGCTGAGCAATATGAGATCAAGGGCCACATTAGTTAAACAGGAGCTCAAACTGACATTATAGAGAAAGGGCACTTTCATTCAGAGAAGGGAGTATACTCTAGAGAAGGTGAAAGAAGTTTTTTGAGTGACAATGATGACTTTTACCCAGTGAGTTCCCTAATGGGATTGAATTCTTCACTTCCCTTTTCCTGTGGAACTAGTTATTACTCTACCTCTGCAATGATACAAACACAGGAATTCTCTCATGTTTGTGGTAATTACAGTATGTAAATTGTTTGTTTTTATCTTACACCTTGGAATGAATGTCTCTTTCTCTTTTGATTTTGACTTGGATAACTTCTTCATATCATCAGTTCTATGTGAAATGTTTGCTGTTAGTTTGTAATACCAAAAAGGTCTCTAATTAGGGCGAAATGTATGTTGTGTTTTCTTAGATTCAAACTTGAGCACCAAATGCATTTGAATAGAATATGTAAATCAAAATCAGTCTTGGAAATAGTTATGAGTCTACCTAGGGTAGGTAATGATTTGTTTATAGTAAAGAGAGGAATGCTAAATGTACCTTCTATGGATAAAGTTCTGGATAGTGATATTTGGAAATTTTTTAAATAAAAATTTAAATGCTTTATGACTAATTAGAGTTGTATAGAATTTCATTTCTCAAAACCTGTGGAAATGACGGGTACTTTTCACTGTATAGTTATCACATAGAGAAGCAAGACCAAATTCCATCTAGCACAATTATGATTGAATAAGAGGAGACTGAGAAAAGAGTGATTTTTTTCATTAAAATCCCTAGCAGAGAGCCTCAGATCTTAGCCATGAAAATGCATCATATATATATATAATATATGTATATATATATATTTTAACCATATGTAATGGCCAGGAAATATTAGGAATGCTATGTATCATGTGATAAAAATATAATTATAAAAGGGTTTCTCAATAATTTTTACTGAGATTGCTGATGAGTTACTTATCTGTGTCTTTTCTTTGTGTCTATAAAGGACAAACTCTCTGAGGCCTCAGTTTCCTCTTTTGAAATGAAGGGGTTGGAGTAAATGATTACTAAGTTCCCCGTAGCTTTAAATTTATAATTCTCTATGTTACATTTATGTAATTCATTATATAGGTTTTTTTTAATGGTTTTGGTTAAAAAAAAACAGAAGAAACCCATTTTTTACAGTTATATGGATTGTTTGATACTCGTTTGCTACTGGAAATAACAAAAAAATGAAGTCATTGAACAAAATTTAGGGCTACTCCTTGGGTTTTTATTTTTGTGGGGAAACAGAAAACACCGTATCTTAAACCCAGGTTGTGATATCGCCATTTGTCTCCATGACCACTAACTTATTCTTTCCAGCCTTAATAGGAGAGTGAATTCTCAACATTGCTCTTAGGCTTTTGCTCAAAAAGTAAAATATGAAAAATTACTGACATCTATTTCCTTTTTTCTTTTCATTACAGCCAAGAGTCAGGAGAAATCAAAGGGCGTGACTATGCTATGCTTTACAAATCAGAAACAAAGAGAGATGAAAACCATACTCCAGACAGTAACTTAATCAGACTCACAAGCAAGATGTTAAAAATGAATAGGCTGGAAGGCATAAATACACGTTACAATAGTAACCTGTTGGAGAAAATGGCTTATTTTCAGTATGTAGAAAAAGCTGAGACTGTACAGTGTTTTTTGAAGGAAAACAACAATGAACTTGATTCAGGAGCTGAAGAGAATGAGGTAAAGTGCTTCGTTATTCTACTTTACTCCCATGAAAGTAACATCAATTTTACTTTCTCTTTTAATGTATAATATTTTCATTTAACTCATTCATTTAAAATAATAACCATTTTGTTTTGCTATAAAGAATTAATAAGAATGAAATATTAAATCTCATTTAATTAAAAATTCCAAGTTGGAATAACAGGATTAGGCTTTTGGTAAAGTAAGAAATAAGCCTTTGAGATCACCTTGAAATAACAACCTTATACAAATCATAACTAATGCTATTCAATTAATGAAAGGGGGGGGAAGTTCTTTTGCATTCATACATTAAAAGAAAAATATTGAAAACAATGCCTGTTTTTTTCCTTTCAACCCAAAATTCAAAAAGAGACAAACAGAAAGGATTCAGAAATATTAAATAGAATTAGATTTTCCTTCTGTGGGGTCCCCCAACTTTTGGTGAAGAATTGTGAATTGTAATTTCCCTAAAACCTGGAAACTGCATGGGAGTTGAGGAAGGATGGGGAGATAATAAAAATTTTTAAGCAGAGTGGGAGTGAGGAGTGCCATTTCTACAGAATTATTTCTGCAAAAAATTCTGGGAAATAATAGAGATTGGGCTAGAGATATAGTGACCATATTTTCTGAACCAAAATTTGGATCACAGGACTTATAAAGACTATTCCTTTTGAAATGTTTCGTTAAAAGTACACTTTCTTAAATTATCTCAGTCCTGGAGAACTGGTAAGGAATTTATCTTCCACTGCACTATAGATAAGGGATAGAATATAGTATTTATTGTAAGATGTGTCTGTTCTGTTGGTTGGCCTTGCCTGAATGTTTTTCATTATTACAAGAAAGGATTCGTTGGTGAGAGAGGAAGGGAGTCTTTTTAAAGACCCATTCCTTAAACAAAAAAAAAAAAAAAGAGAGAAAGAAAGAAGAAAGAAATTGGGATTGCACCATTGGTATAGAAGAAAAAGGACTTCTACAGGTGGTAACTAGCTTGAACCTCTATCAGATGATCAATCAATCAGTAAACATTTGTTAAGTGTTTACTATGTGCCAGGCACTGAACTAAGCTCTTGAGATACAAAGGCAAAATGAAACAGTTCCCTGTCCTTAAAAAAACTTACATTCTAATGGGAGAGATAAGAGAAATAAAGGAATGTGTACAAAATAAAGATTTAGTAGAAACAATGTAACTTTAGAGAGGATGGCACTAGCTTCTGAAGGGACAGAAAAAGGCTTCCTTCAAGAGTTGGCACTTGAGCTCAGTATTAAAGGAAGTCAAACATTCCAGGAAGGCAGAGTAGGTCCAGCTTTGAGATCTACCAGCTGATTCATATCTACCAAAGGACTCCAATATTACGTAATATTTATTTCTGGATGTTCATTTTGTACTACTCTTCATCTCCAAAATGAAATATTTCAGTTATGACAATGGCAAGGCAAGGCAACAAGTATTTATTAAGCTCTTGCAATGTGCCAGACACTGTGCTTGCTAAGCACTAGGGATACCAATATAAGCAAAAAGAAAGACATTCTCTGTCTTCAAGGAGCTTACAGTTTCATGGGAGAAGATAAAGCATAAATGGAGACAGAAGATTTGGAGTGGAAGGAAGGTACTGTCATGAGGCCACGATAGTGAAGTGCAGAGAGTCAAAACTACAACTTGGAGGGAAACACAATACACATTTATTGAGAACTTTTGCTGTACAAAATATAATGAATTATTCTGTCCTTTAAAAGGAGAGAAAGAGAGTGTCTTTTATACAATCTTAAGTTATGAAATGCTGAGATTGTAACTCAGAGTAATCTGATTAGCAAGGCTAAAAGATGAGGGTTTTGTTTCGGCTATCTCCCTATGGAAGGTACCTTGGATACCACTTTTGGGATGACTGATCACATATCCTGAAGAGGGGATGTAAACAGTAGCCTTGTCCTGGGTGCATGTTTACCTATTGAGGGTGATTAATGGAGACATGACTATTCTAGATCTGAGACTCATTAGTGGACGTGACTTTTAAAAGGGATTCATGAGATCTTGTAGGAAGAACAGAGACCAGAGAAAAACTACACACAAAGCTTGGACGTGGGTACCTAGGGAATAACGACCACTGTATATATGTCTCCCCGATGACCCCCTGGATCACAGAGGTGGCAGGTGAGAAGAAGCAGTGGCAGAGGAGCCCTCAACCAAAGAACTTTTGGAGACAGCTTCCTACAAAGAAAAACAACTGCCATATGGCTCTAGAACCAGAAGATGAACAAGGTACTGAGCCACAACGCGGAGGAGAAAACCTAGACGTTTGTCTCCACTATGACTATGAGTTATGTGAACTGTGCACAGTTAAGTGAAGATTCCTAAGTCCAAGTTTGTTTGCCTTTGGGGAGATAACCGCAGAAAGCTAGAGGTCTTAAGTACTACATAGGACCCTGGGGAAGGAGGACCTGACCAGAATTGGGGAGAGTCAGGAAAGGAAGGAGGGAGTTGTTTTCACTAATGTAGCTTAATAATTGCTTGTTGGTTGATTAATTGATTCATAGACTCAGGAATCTTTTGTGTTATGTACTTTCTGTGGGGTGAAATAAAGATTGTCCAAAATTCTATACGTGGAAAGCTGAGGACCCTTTTACCTTTTCTTTTTTTTCTGTAGAGTCAAATTCTGAACTCTTAGGGGAAATAAACCAAAGACTAATTTAGGGGAAGCCTCTTCAAGATTGAACACAGCCCATTAAACCTAGGACTTCAGCTACTGGCTACAAGTTAACCTTCCACTTCCTTCTCCTGTCAAAATGAATCAAGTTTTTATCCCCTCCTACTTTGTCTAGGGTAATATATGAGAGATAGAATACATAATTTAGGATTTATTACACTGAATTAAGGTATAGGGAATTTATATTTGGGCTTAGAAAATATTGCAGAATTTAGTCTTTGTTTATAAAAGTCTACTTTTAATCCTAGCACCCAAAAAGAACTAATAGGCCTTTGCTAACTATAACTTAGATATATATACTCTAAAGCTACAGAACAATAAGAGTTTCTGTGAAACAGAAAGATTAATTGGTTCTCTTTCTGATGACCCTGGACTGAGAAATACCATTGAGGGAAATAATGAACCAAGCACTGATGAAAAAGTTATCATCTGCTATTATCAAAATGACAATATGTTAATAAAGTCATAATTTGGGAGAGAGGAGTTGTTTGACTCTATAATTTAATTGGTGTGGGGAACTCCCAGTCTGGAAAATTCCTTTCACTAGTGCAGAGATCAGTAACTAGTGTGTAACTTAGGGAATTGCCTAAAGTACTGAGAAATTAACTTGCTGATGATCACATAGCTCTTTTGTGCCAGAGGCAAAATTTGAACCCAGGTCTTCCTGACTTCAAGGCTGGCCTTTTCTCCACTACATCATGCAAATATTATTGTTCTCATTTTAGAGATGCAGGAACTGAGGCTTGTTTTGCTCTAAGTTGTGTGCAGTGCCACTTGGCAGGGAAAGCTTAATTTTGAATCTCACTGGTACTCATTTAACTACTGTTAAGTCAAGAATATTGTATTCCTCTAGATGGCGCCATCTACTGTGCTAAATTTCTATGTTTTGAAAAGCTGCATTTGCTTTGAAAAGCAAAGGTCTTGAACTCCTTTTTCCTTCATTATGACAGATTTTCCCCCCCACCACTTATCATAGGATCAGAAATCTAGAGCTGGGAGGAACGTAGGCAGAGCTCTTCTACTTTAAACCCAATATTTTATAGACAATAAAGCTGAGGCCCAGAGAAATTCTGTGACTGGACCAAGGTTGCATACAGACAGCAAGGAGAGGCAGGATTCACACTTAGATCCTTGGACTCCTGGAAGAATTGTGCATCCAGATCAAAGAGCTACTACTCCTACTTGTAGGACTGATTGAGCGCTTATTGTATTTGTGATCTCATCCGTGTGAGCCCTACTTCTCCATGCGTACAGGTGCATGCTCTTCCCACTTTCCACCTGGTAAGATTCTTGTCAATTACCTTTTCCCATGATCCTACATAGAAAGAAGAAAGGCAGATGTGTCCTTCCTTCAAGTCTTCTAAACCTTTAAAGGTATCTATGTATCATATGGGCATCTACTTGTTATACCTCAATCTGACCTCTTAGCTGTTCCGTCTTCGCGACTAGTCATCTAGAGCTTGATAATTTCTTTTATTGCCATTTCTTGGCAAGTCAATTGTTTGTAATATGATGCTGCCTACCTACTACCACCATGCATTTTTCTATTACTGTTTGATTCACCTGCATTTTTTGATTCTTCTCATATCTATACTGTTTTATGATAGAATAACTATCAGGAGAATATTGGTGCTTGAAAAAATGAGTTTATGTAGCATTGATCAAGTTGATAGCATTTCAAGTACCTTGTAATTTGTTAAGTGTGATCCAGGCTTATCTTTTATTTAAATGTGTGTTATCCTAGCCATTATCTAACATTTTCTGATGATTCCCAGTACTAGACAAGATGTGATTGATGGGATTTGGGATGAATTCAGTTCCTACCTTCAAGGAGTTTATAGTCTAGTATTCTCTGAGGAGCTGTGAGATGTTGATTTACAATTTAATTCAATAGTCTGATACCCTTCTATTCAGTTTTTATTCTAGTTCATTGTATATTTGTAATGCCTGTCCACCATATGTGTACTGATAGACTAACTTAATCGACTTCCCATTCAAATATGTGTCATAATCTGAACAACATTACAATCCTCATCTACTCTGTTCTTCCAATGTGGATGCTTAGAGTGATTTTCTTTGAGTAAATGTGGATCTAAGTGAGGATTCCTTATGGCATTCCAGAGCTTGATGCAGTCAGCATAATGCTTTCTTCAAACAGCAGCATCTGGAGAACATTTCTATAGGAAATCTCTTTAAGATTTTAAATGTTTCTTAGGATGGCCCCCGTGAAATGGCTAAACATCTTTGATATATATGTGTTGATACTCAGTTATTTTGGGTTCGAGAAGGTATAGT